ATTCAGACAGAATAAAGGCAGTACACAGTTTATATAGTCATTGTCACGTCACACATCGAAAGACATACGTGTCACACAGAGACAGTCACATCATAGTCATAATAATCAGAGTCCTTGTAGAGTTCTGCACGTAGGCCATATTGCCATCTAATACTAACAAGTCTAAACAATTTTGGAGCGCTCTTGGCTTTCCAACATGCGCTATATAAATAAAGATTACTTATTATCTTACTAATGTGAAACTTTTTAAAACCAGAAACTCTCTTAATAAAAAAAACAAGACTCAAACCCGCACCTTCAAACTTTAAAATATGTATTATGTACTTTTGTACTGTGTGTTTAATTATCTATGCGTTCTTGGGTTTCACTTTATGGAATTTCCCTTTTACACTTGAACATTTATCTCAGCATATATTCTACTAATTTAAAATAATTGCATTTTTCAAATTAAGTCAATATGAATTGGAGCACATTTCAGAGCTCTCTGTGCTGTTTGCATCAGCAGCAGGAGGAAGGTCAGGTGCATAGTCAAAACAAAAAAGCCACCGCTTGCAATGTGAATTGGGTAGAGTTTAACTCAATAATACTTTTACAGCTAATCCTAATTCCCTCTTTCTTTTTAGACGAAGTCTATGATCAATAATCACTTTTAACACAGATTCTAATTTAAATGTTTGAAAAACGGCTTTTGTAACTAAAATAAAAATAAATTAAAAAACTCTCACAAACAGCTATGAAATATATCAGATACAATAATGGACTCAAAAAATAAGCAGATTTAAAAAGAAAAGCAAAGCTTTTTTGCACTAATATTTTGGTTTCAAAAACATAACTATTCCCTAAATGTGTTTAAAACGTTTAACTGTGTCATAACACAATGTTCAATCGCAAATTTCGCAAATGTAACGGAATAAAAACTATAAAAAGCCTAAATCCTAAAGGCAGTAGCTCCCCTTTAAATCAGAGCAGCAGCAGCAGCAGCAGCGCAGCAAGGGCGGGGGTTCCCGTCACACAGACGCACACAGGCAGAAAGTAGTGTTTTAGCAAAAATGCAAAAACAGAAAGAAGAACTTTCAAGATTACTTTTTTAAGCGAATATAACTGATGTTGTAGTTTATACTTTTGTCATCCAAGTCTAGAAATGATCAATTTCAACACTTGTAACAAAAGGCACTCTTAGTGTTTAACGTTTCCTTCTATTTTATTGAGGTCGCGAACTAGTTTAAACTCAAAATCTCTTTCTAAAAAACAACTGTTGGATACAACCCGAGCCGCGACAAAAAATGTAAATAACTCACGAAAGCTAATGTTATGGGAGTGTTCTGGACCCCAAAGCAGAGACGGAGACAGAGCGAAATTATAAGAGGATTTACTTTACAAAACGAATAAACTTAAAGCAGGCGGTTGAGACAGGGAGCTGGCTGGCTGGTCAGGAAAAGGAGGACCTGAACACAGGACACAAAAAAAAACCATAAGACAAACCGCAAAGCACAAACTCAGACTGTTGCTGTATACTGACGTCTGACATAGTATAATCTGGCAGCGACGTGAAGTTCCAACCAGGTACTTGAAGCCAGGGTGATTATGAGGAACAGGTGTGTGAGCCCACACACACCTGCTGCTGAGCCAGCCATGCCCCCGGTCTCACACATGCCTTTAAAACAACAGAAAGGGAGGGGGGAGGCAGAGCAAAACCCAAACCCAACAGCTAAAAGCTCAACTGTAGATAAAACTCTGCATTCTCCGGTGAACTCTGTTCACGCCAAAAAAACAAACTAAAAAACAAAAACTCCCTTTTTCTGTCTGTAATTTAAACCGTGATCGCTGAATGTAACATATTGTTGCTTATGTACTTTTGTCATTTATCAGCCTGAAATTCGTCAATTTCAGAGCTTTTGTAACAAAGACCTCTTTAACACATTTCCTTCTTTATTGCTTTTATGTTTACACCATGGTTTCACTTTTGGATCCTACACTTTATGGATCCTTCACTTATGGCCTACACTTATCCAGGTAGCGAACCTGTTTTTAATCTAATCTGATCTATAGATATATGACATTTGGTAGACCTCAAAACAGACCATAATTTAGTTCACTCAATTAGCAGACTTTGAATAAACAGGTGTCCGCTCTTACCTTTTGTCGAACAGGGCCCAGGCACCGTCAGAAGTCCACCAAATATCAGCCTTTCCACGTCCAACCGGGTCTCCCAGATCATGAACCAGCGCTCACTAGTACCGGGAACTAGTTTCCATCGGCAGAGACCAATCGCACATCAGAAATCCCCGGAATGTGGACATGGGAAAACAATTTTAAACGCTTAGTCAGTCCAAAAAACAGGACACAAAAAAATATAGTGAGAGAGCAAAAAGAGTCCCGGAGCCGGTCACCTCTCCAGCCTGCTGGACCGCTCCCAGGCCCCAGATACTCTCAGCTCTCCCACGCCGAGAAAAAGAAACAAAGAAAACTCCCTCAAAACAATCCAGAGAATGGCACACACTGAGCCGCGCATTCTCCACCAAATCTGTCAGGGATTAAGCAGACAGAGACGGATCGTGGTGCGCCAAACTCTGGAAGTGTATTTAAGTTTCTCTCAAGTTCCACTGGTTTCAATTGTTTCTTTCTCTCAGTCAGAATGGAGTCAGTACACAGTTTATATAGTCATTGTCACGTCACACATCGAAAGACATACGTGTCACACAGAGACAGTCACATCATAGTCAAAATAATCAGAGTCCTCGTACAGTCCTGCACGTAGGCCATATTGCTATCTAATACTAACACTTGGTTTTATTACAGAGTTCTATTGTGGTCTAAAATGTACGTACCCTAGCTTTGAATATGGAAGAGAGAGAGACCAGAGAGAGAGACCAGAGAGAGACCAGAGAGAGAGACCAGAGAGAGACTAGAGAGAGAGACCAGAGAGAGAGACCAGAGAGAGAGACCAGAGAGAGAAACCAGAGAGAGACTAGAGAGAGAAACCAGAGAGAGAGACCAGAGAGATACACTGTTATCTCTTGAACAGTGTTAGTAGGTCAGTGTTACTGATAAGCTCCGTTACATAATGAATAAAGTGGGACTCGCTGTTTCCTCATGAGTCACATTCCTCTGGACTTTGAGCAGGTGGATCCAACTACAGAACCATGTCCAATCTTGTGTTTGCATGTTCTCCTTGTGTCTGTGTGGAGCCTCAGTCCTGCTTCTGTTGCACAATACAAAAACATTTGACGTTCAGTTAATCAGTGTGGACTCTGTGACAGGGAATGTGGAGTCTGAGGTTTGACCTATCGGCTTGGTCCTGGTCCTTGTACTGGTCTTGGTCCTGGTCTTGGTCCTGGTCCTTGTCTTGGTCCTCGTCCTGTCTTGGTGTTTGCATGTGTAGTGGTGCGCACTCCTGCTGGTTAGCCAATCAGAGTTTGGTCCGGCTCTTTATAGAGGCGCGTCCTACCTCGGCCCGACCTCTTCCGCCTCTGACGTCGAGTGACTTGGCCCGGGACAGAGCAGGTGTTTTGATCAGCGTCTCGCTACCACGGTTCAATTGCGTCGTATGTGCTTTTGGTGAGTACTGTTTAGTGATTAAAAGATTAGTTAGATTATCCTAAAATCGTGTTTTGTAGCATACCGGCGTCTTAGCGCGCACACCGCTGCTGTGCCTGTTTTCCTTCACCGGGCCCTTGGGCGTGGACGTTACTGCCGTGCGTAAAGGCTTGTCCCAGTGTGAGCTGTCACGGGCTGGGGCGGCTCGTGCGCGGAGCGCTTCAATCTGCAACTGATTCCTGTTGTCTCCGACCTCCCCTTCCAAGTGGGGTCTTTTGCACTATAGTCTGGTTTTTTAAAATCTAAAGGCATCTTGTGAGTGAGAGGATATAAACCTGTGGTGGCCGCGGGACTGCAGGACGCGTATCCCATCCAGCGCCTCCAATCCTCCACGCACCTCAACTACGGACAATCCAACCAGTGCTTCTTTTTATTCCTCTGGTAGAGGCTCTACCCACAAGGTAACCAAATTCCGGCCCTAGTGTGGCTGAACGCAACGGCTGCTGTAGTGGGGACACTTTTTAAAAGTAAATTGTTTTTCTTTTTTTTTGGTTTATCTGGCTGTTGATTGTATTGTTCTGGAATGCATGCAGTATGACTGAGAATGAATGGGAGTGTGTGTGTGCTGTGAATGTAGAGTGTTTTAATTAGAATAATCAATTAAACTTGTCAGCTATGTAAATAAACTTATATTTTGTTAGATTTGCCTCTGTCTCTCTCCATACCCAAACGAACCATGTAGTCTAGTGATGCGGGGATAAACTTCTTGATGGTTCCTTAGGCCAAAATCTAAGGTGGTGTTGCTGGTATTTATTTGTATAGTTCTCATTGTAAATATAGTGAGATTCTAGCTAAGTGCTTCCGAGCTCGCAACACATGTTCTCCCCATGTCTGCGTAGGTTTCCTCCAGGTGCTCCGGTTTCCTTTACCACTAAAAACATGTATACAATTGGTCTGGCATACGCCTCTTGTACTGGCGACCCTGCTCCCATCTCTGTGTGGAGTGAGACAAAAGCCCAGAATTGTATAGTGCTTTGTGACTCTGGTCTGTGAAAGGCGGTATATAAATAAAGATTACTTACTACTTACTTGGTTTGAGTCCTGGTCCTTGTCTTGGTCCAGGTGCTGGTGTCGTCTGATCCTGGCCCAATTACATAAGAATAGATTGCGTAAGAAGGTATATTTGCTAGTCCTTTAAGTTTGGACAGCAGGGGGAGAGGGTAGGAGAGGGTAGGGGAGGAGAGGGTAGGGGAGGAGAGGGGACCTCTGCGGTCAGAGGTTTGAGAAATCACAAAGAGGAAGTTAAAAATACTGTTTCACTTTTCTCTTTAGCTGAGAGGAGTACTACCACTACTACTACTACTACTGCTACTACTTGGGCTGCTACTACTACCAATACTGCTACCACTTCCACTACTACTATTGCTACTGATACATTCCTTGTGTTCAGGAGGTGAGCAGTGATGGATCCCAAACTAATGAAGGAGAACAGAAAGGTGAGACTCGTGTTTTGTCTTAAACTAGCACTAAAAAGCTGGGGTGCGAAACATTAAAGCTTTGATGCAAGATTTTAAAGCTAGGGTACGTGACTTGGGGTTGTTGCATAACTCTAATGTGTCTCTTAACTCTAAGACCCAGAAAAGGGGCGCTCAGACCCTGGCAGAGCACTGCATGATGGCAGAAGGGAAAATGAAACCTTATGAGATTAAATCCCCCTGGGCCTATATCCTGGTGGTGGGAGCTCGGAAAAGGCTGAAAGAGCTGGACCGGGCACGAGGCGATGATGAAAGCGGCTCCAGCTTCCTGTATGATATGAAGGTTTAATGGAGGGCAGGAGATTAGAGCTGGCTCCAAGAATACACACTTGCCCAGTGTTCCCCGACCTTTTTGAGCCGTGGCACACCTTATTCATTTAAAACAATCACATGGCACACCATCAGTAGAAACTGATAACAAAAATTTTATTCTGCAGCCTTATTTAGTATTTAGGCTGCAGTATTTAGGTGTTTAGTATTTCTAAACTTCTAATTATTTTTTATTTCACAATATTTTGACCAGGTAGGTGATATTGGATAATTTCCCAAGGCACACCGAATAACATCTCAAGGCACACTAATGTACCACGGCACACTAGTTGAAAACCACTGCACTAGCCCACCCTATCAACTAGATGGTTTAATCTGAGATAAATGACACTGAAATGAGGGGTGTGGTAAGGCACATGTCACTTTGCTCTGGTTGGTTGTTGGACAATCCAATAGAGCAAAGAGGCATTGTTTTTACTGGTTTGGTTGGAACGCTCCCCATAATCCCAGCACAATGGATCAGTTTCACATTGTTAGGAGGACGAAGTCAGGCTCGGGGATTCCAGTCTTACACTTGCTATAGTTTTAACAGAGAGGAACATAAAAATTACTTACTTAATTCTGAACTATGAACATTGTAAAGTGCTTTGGGTGACCTTGGTCTGTAAAATTCACCATATAAATAAACATATTACGATCTATGCACTGAATGCAACTACAAAAAACACAACCACACAACAGCCACAAACGACAACTCAGACCCAGAATATAAACACTAATTAACTAGTGAAGTTAATGACAAACTATGCAGAGGTCTGAGATCTTGTTTCAGCAGAAACATGTTTTATTGTTGGTAAAAGACAGGAACAGAGATCCACAGCATTAACATGGTTATATTATATAGACGACAAAACAGGACAGTCCTCTCTGCTTCTCCACTGCACCAAGAGATTTGACCTTCAGAACAAAACATCAAGAGGAATCACTGCCTGCAGACTGTTGTAATTATAAGCTCAGCTTGAACATAGTTGCACCAAAAGTCTGGTAAAATAGTGTCAATATTTACATGTTGTTGTGTCGCTTCTCAATGATTTGCTAAAAGAAAACTTATATGCACATGATGAAAGAGTTTGGCTCTAAATGACCCATATCTCTGGAACTGAATATTATTAAGTAACAGAAGTATCCAAGAAAAAATGATGAAATAATTATTATAGAGAGAACCAAACATGTTAGAGGGGATTCGGCTAACTGTAATTACTGCTATTACGGCTATGCTTTTATGAGACTTTTGGAGCAATTATGTTCAAACCGAGCTCAGTGTTTCCACTCGATGTTTTTTTCTGAAGGTCAAATCTCTTGGCGCAGATGCAGAGAGGACCATCCTGTTTTGTCTTCTATATAACCATGTTGATGCTGTGAATCTCTGTCTTTTACCAACAACAAAATATGTTTCTGAGCAGAAAAATTAGCAGACTCTGCTCTCCTGTTGGGAAGATGCCGGTATGCTACAAACAAGACAATTTTAGGAAGATCTAACTAAATAAGGAATCAGCATGCAGGACTCTCCAAGGACACATACGGTGAGAGTGTGGTTCAAAATGCGTGGCCTTACGCCTGTTGCGATTGAACCGGGCTATTTGTCACAACACGCTGCCCAAATATACCAGCTCTGTCCCGACTCAGGTCACTTTACGTCAGACACAGAAGAGGTCAGCCGGAGGTAAGGCACGCCTCTCATAAAGAGACAGATCTCTGATTGGCTACTCAGAGGGAGTGCGCCTGACTACATGCATCAAGCAATATGGACAGTCAATAAAACAGTCATGATAAGATATCACAAAATAAACACAGGAGACCAAACAAAGACGTGGAACAGTAAAATACAACAAATCAAGATGGCTGCCTGAGCCTGAGTGTGTGTTGCAGAGGCAGGAACTGACTACTATTTGGGCCAGTAGCTACTGATAATATGTAATGTTTGAACAACATCAGCTTCAGATATGGCTGAATCACGCCAGCAAACAACTGAGAAGGCCGCGAGTCCCACCCTTCAACATACTGTATTCTGCATGCAGTACTTCAGATTAAATGACATCTATGTACACATTGACGCACAAATTGCGCTAATTAAATCAAGCATTGAGAAAATACAAGGCTTAATGTCCACAATATCTGATCAAATACAAGAATTGGAGCAAAGAGAAACTGCCAACAAGGATCTCGCCAAACTTGAAAAAGAAAACACTTACATCCATCCATCCATCCATTTTCTTCCGCTTTATCCGTTGCCGGGTCGCGGGGGCAGCAGTCTAAGCAGAGACGCCCAGACTTCCCTATCCACACACACTTCCTCCAGCTCGTCCGGGGGGACCCCTAGGCGTTCCCAGGCCAGCTGAGAGACATAGTCCCTCCAGCGTGTCCTAGGTCTTCCGCGGGGCCTCCTCCCGGTGGGACGTGCCCGGAACACCTCCCCAGGGAGGCGTCCAGGAGGCATCCGGAACAGATGCCCGAGCCACCTCAACTGGTTCCTCTCGACGTGGAGAAGCAGCGGCTCTACTCCGAGCTCCTCCCGTGTGACTGAGCTCCTCACCCTATCTCTAAGGGAGCGCCCAGCCACTCTGCGGAGGAAGCTCATTTCGACCGCTTGTATCCGCGATCTCGTTCTTTCGGTCATTACCCAAAGCTCATGACCATAGGTGAGGGAGGGAACGAAGATTGACCGGTAAATCGAGAGCTTTGCCTTTCGGCTCAGCTCCCTCTTTACCACAACGGTCCGATACAGCGACCGCATCACTGCGCACGCTGCACCGATCCGCCTGTCAATCTCACGCTCCATTCTTCCCTCACTCGTGAACAAGACCCCGAGATACTTGAACTCCTCCACTTGAGGAAGGAAAACACTTACAGTGGGGCAAAAAAAGTATTTAGTGAGCCACCAATTGTGCTCTCCTATAAGTTCTCCTACTGAAAAAGATGAGGGAGGCCTGTAATTTTCATCATAAGTACACCTTATAAGTATACCTCAACTATGAGAGAAAGAATGAAAAAAATAAATCAGAAAATCACATGTTGCTGGTATTTTGGCCCATTCCTCCATGCAGATCTCCTCTAGAACAGTGATGTTTTGCGCCTGAGCGGTGTGTTTGGGATCATTGTCATGCTAGACCCAGCCCCGTTTCATCTTCAATGCCCTTGCTGATGGAAGGAGGTGAGATCTTGCATGGAGCACCAGATCAAGGGAGATTATCAGTGGTCTTGTATATCTTTTAATTTCTAACAATTGCACAGTGGATTTCTTCACACCAAGCTGCTCACCTATTTCAGATTTAGTCTTCCCAGCCTTGTGCATGTGTAAAATTTGTTTATGGTGTCCTTAGAGAGTTGGAGTATGACTGTTTGAGGCTGTGGACAGGTGTCTTTCATACTGATAACAAGTTCAAACAGGTGTCATTAATGGAATTGCCACTGGAATAGTGGACAACTGAGAGACCCTCAGTGCAAGAAGGAGCGCTATACCGCAGGGCCTTTATCCCCACCACTGTCAGACTGTACAATAAGTCACTTTACTTGCACTAGGACTGAAAAACCTGCTCTACTATTGACACTGTTTCTTGATTGCCACTTTTTATTGTACATAATATATCCTGCATTTAACATGTTTGCACATTTCTTTCTTTTGCATAATCTTGACTGTTTCTATCCATGCCAGATGTGACATGTACATTTCTCCTGTGTGAGATCAATAAAGTCGATTCTCTTATCTTATAATACAGGTAACAACTGGAGGACAGAGGAGTCTAAATACTTAATTTCCACCATAACATGCAAATAAAATCTTGAAAAAACAGACAAGGTGCGCACCCTCCGGCTGGCCAGAGAGAAACAGGACCTCCAGTACAGTGGTTTGAGAGTCCATATTTATCTGGTGAGAAGGCGGCGGGAGTTTGATAGTGTGAAAAAGAGTCTTTGGGAGATGGGAATCAAATGTTTGCTGCGGATAAACAAATATCGAAGGCACAGTATCTTTTACTGTCCTGATAAAGTTCCGGACTATATTTGCCAACACTGAGAGAAGTCCTCTTCACCCGCGACAGTGGTGCAGTGAGTAATTCAGTCAAGCAAGAGGACAAGGGCGGGTGGATCACGAATGTCCCACGAGTCCGTGGCGCAAGTAACACATCGACCACTTGTCTAGGGGTATACGTTACCGCACGGATGATCCTGGACGGGTTCCCACTTGTTACGTTCCCCTTGGCTCACGGGGAGGCAACAAAAAGGAGGGAGGACACGGCAAAGACTTTTAAGGCTCGCTGGCCGTTTTATTTAAACAATAATATGGAATCAGTGTAAATGGTCTGGGATGTGATGTGGTGCGTGTGTGTGAATGAGTATCAGTATGATAACCTTATGTGTAATGGGTGCATGTGTAAAAGGTGTAGAGCGGCGTGGCTGGAGGCGAGGAGTGCACAGGACAGGTCCAGGTGTCTGCAATTGGAGCGAGAGCGAGTGCTGTCTGGGACGCCCCTCTTAAAGTCCCAGCACAGACACTCAGCCAATCCAACCCTGCACACAAGAATAGTTAAACAAGGGGAGGAGTGCACGCAATCCCATCCTGGCCTTAGACCATGACAAGACAGGACACGCGCACACACGCAAACGACCCAAGCTCCCTCCCCTTTCCTTTCCGA